AGAGAGAGAGAGAGAGAGAGAGAGAGAGAGAGAGAGAGAGAGAGAGAGAGAACGAACTCAGATTCACTGAGAAGTATCATGGATTAAATTGGGTTCTTCCAGGCTGGAGAAATGGTTCAGTGATTAAGAGCACTGGCTATTCTTCCACAAGAGTGTTCCAGCACTCACACGGAAGCTCACAATTGTCTGTAGTTCCCATTCCAGGGGATCTGACATCTTCACATGGACATGCAGTGAAAATAGCAATGTACATAAAATACAAGATAAGTTATAAAAAACAAAAGTTGCATTTTCCCAGATCACCTGCTAATCACCTGAAGCCCTAATCCCTAGCACCTCGGGGTTTGTTTTCAGTGGAAATAAGGTCCTTGCAGCTATTTTTAAAGATGAGTGACCTGGAAAGATGTCTCAGATGTAAAGAACACTTGCAGCCCTTCTAGAGGAGCTGAATTTAGTTCCCAGCACCCATGTTGGCGTGCTCACAATCTCCTCTAACTTCAGTTCCTCTGGCCTCTATGGGCACCCACATTTACAGGCGCTTACACACACACACACACACAACTAAAAACAACATAAAATTCTTAAGTAAAAATGAGGAACTATTGGCCAAGAGGGCCCCCTAAGGCAAGACAACCAGTGTTCTTTTAAAGGGACAAATCGGGCTGAGGATGTGACTCAGTTGGTTAGTGTGGCTCACACCTGTAACCTCGGCACCCTGTGGATGGAGGCAGGAGAATCAGAACTATGAGGTTATCCCATTCTGATCTACACAGTGAATTGAGGGCAGCCTTAGCTATGTGAGATCTTATCTAAAAAAGGGTAAAGGGGGCGACAAGATTGTTCAACAGGTAAAGGTGCCTGTTGCCAAGACAGACGACCTGGGTTTGATCCCTGGGATATGGTGGCAGGAGAGAACATACACACACAAATGTAATAAACAATGTTTTTAGCCAGGTTTGTGCAAGGCTCATACATTCAATCCCAGCACTCAGGAGGCAAAGACAGGTCAACTTCTGTGAGATCTAGGCTAGCCTGGTCCACATAGTGAGTTCCAGGACAGTTATGGATATATTGTGAGACCCTGCCTCACAATTATTTAGTTAGTTAGTTATAAGATTGAGGGCTGGCAAGAAGCTCAGTAGGTAAAGGCACTTAACTGTCAAGCTCATCTGAGTTCAGTTCCCAAGCCCCATGTGCTGGAAGGAGAGAACCGACTCCAGCAAGGTGTTCTTTGACATCCAGCAATGTGCTGTGGCAGGTGTGCAGCGTAAATAAATGATATATATAATGAAATAATTTTAAAAATTAAGAAAGAGGAGCTGGAGAGATGGCTCAGTGGTTAAGGGCACTGATTGCTTTTTCAGAGGTCCTGAGTTCAATTCCCAGCAAGCACATGATGGCTCACAACCATCTGTAATGGGATCCAAAGCCGCTTTCTGCTGTGTCTGAAGACAGTGATATAAAATACATATTTTTTTTAAAAAAAGAAGAAACTATCCTCTTTTAAAGGGGGAGGGGAAGAACCGGGATCTGATGTGCACACAGGGAGAGTGCCCAGGGAAGGCTGGAACTATGCTAGGAACAGAGGCTCAGAACTGCACCTCCACAAGCCAGCCCCCCCCCCACACACACACACAAGCCAACCCTGCTGACACCTGACCTAGGACTCCCAGCCTTCAGCCATGAGTTCTGTCTTATGTCACCTGGTGTTTGGTACTTTGTTACAGCAGCCCTGGCAAAACATCATCTGTTTGAGACAAGATCTCTCTTTGTAGCCCTGGCTGGCTTCTAACTCACAGAGATGTACCTGCTTCTGTCTCTTGAGTTTGGGATTAAAGGCCTTCCTTATTTCCTTCCCTTTTTTCTTCCTTCCTTATTTCCTTATTTCCTTCCTGCCTTCTGTTCTTCTTCTCTTTTGTCTGAGTCTGGCTTATTTTTCACTTAACAGCAACACTTGGATTTTGACCCAGAGAAAAATGATTTCCTGTCTCTGGCTTTCAGAACTATGAAAGAACCAATTTCTTTTCTTTCTTTTTCTCTTCCCCTCCTCCTCCTCCTCCTCCTCCTCCTCTTTCTCTTCTTTATTTCTTTCCTTTTTCTTTTTTTTTTTTTTGACAGATTTCTCTCTGTAGCCCTGGCTATCCTAGAACTTGCTGGCCTTGTACTCACAGAGATCCACCTGCCTCTGCTTCCCAAGCGCCAGAAGCAAAGGTGTGTGCCATCTATGGCTGAAAAAAAACAAAACAAAACAACCCCCCCCCAAAAAAAAACCAATTTCTTCTTCTGCCTTGAGTCACAAATGTGATTTGTTCATTATACCTAGGACATTAATATAAATAGGAATAATAAATGTTTCATGTGGTAAATAGACATTGAGGAGTTATAAACAGGACTAGGTATGACTAGAAAAAAAGTCAAAGTCGGGCTGTCGTGGCGCACATCTTTAATCCCAGCACTTGGGAGGCAGAGGCAGGCAGATTTCTGAGTTCGAGGTCAGCCTGGTCTACAGAGTGAGTTCCAGGACAGCCAGGACTACACAGAGAAACCCTGTCTCGAAAAACAAACAAAAAAAAAAAGTCAAAGAAGTTTTCAAAGCACCACAGGTAAGTAGAAGTGCGTCAGAAAGGTAGTTGTACAAGACAAACTTAGGGTTACAAGCCACTTCAAAGGTACAATGGAGATGGAGCCTCTGTTTGTGAGAACCAAGTGTATAAGTACCAGCCTGACTGCAGTGGGGAAGCCTAGGAAAAGGAAATTTAACACCCAAAGCCCTTGGGTTTTGTCTGTTTGTTTGTTTGTTTGGTTGGTTGGTTTTGTTTATTTTTGGTTTTTGTCACATCTAGTATTTTACTGAGCCCCTTCCTTACAAGTTTTAAGAGTTGAGATGGAGTTTTCCCAGGACCTAGCTACCCCTCTCCCCCGCCCTCAAACTAACTAATTGGTAAATGGTGAATGAGTAAAGACTTCTGTACTTTGATTAAGTCAGAACTAAAAGTTTGGAAAGGAAGAGGAGAACACTACATTGAATTTGAATCCTTATAAATGACTTGATTACTGATACACACACACACACACACACACACACACACACACACATATATAAAAGCTATGAAATCTGAACTCAGTGTGATTGCCCCTCAGTGTGCTGCTGAGCTTGAGTGGTAATTCTCTTCACATCCACTCAGTCAGAGGGGGCGCTATGGAGCACTGTCGAGAAGAGACAGGAAGACTGCCGATTAGGAATGCTTTTAAAGTGTTATGTGTGGTAGGTGTACACAAATGACCTGGACTTCCTCTAGAGCATCTGTTCCCAACCTTCCTAATGTTGCAACCCTTTAATACAGTTCCTTATGTTGTGGCGACCCCTAACCAGAGAATTATTTTGTTGCTACTTTATAACTAATTTTGATACTGTTACGAATCATAATGTAAATATCTGGTATACAGGATATCTGATAGGGGACCCTTGTGGGTGTCTCTCCCCACACACTGAGAACTGCTGCTGTAGAAGGTAAAGGTGTAGCTTCTTCAAAACCTTTTTGTTTTTACAGTTTCTAATGTTAAGTATAGAAAGAAGAATTCCATTAAGAGGAGCGAGCTGTTCATTAAGCATTGTTTGAGTTCTGTGTTCAAGTATGCAAGATGTCAAAGGTAGGAGCATGGAAAAGACAAGGTTGATCTATCTTCTGTTTTGATTCCATGATGTCAGAGTAGTAATCACTTTAGCTATAAAGACATTGGACATCATAGCCTGTTTGATGTCCATTGGATATCATAGCCTGCTGTCTGCCCTAGGTCTGCTTGATGCAACAGCTAACTGGATGAAGCACCACACTCAACACTACACTGGTTCTTGAAAACTGAGAAGGGTAAGATATGGAAGGAACTTGTCTTGGTTGGAGTTTCCATTGCTGTGAAGAGACACCATGACCAACGCAACTCTTAAAAGGACAACATTTAACTGGGGCTGGCTTACAGGTTCAGAGGTTCAGTCTATTATCAAGGCAGAAACATGGCAGCGTCCACACAGGCATGGTTCAGGCAGAGCTGAGACTTCTACATCTTCATCTGAAGGTTGCTAGGGGAAGACTAACTTCCAGGCAGCTGGGGGAGGGGGTGTTTTCAAAGCCCAACTCTCACAGTGACATACTTCTTCCAATAAGGCCACACCTCCAAATAGTGCCACTCCCTGGGCCAAGCATATTCAAACCACCACAGAACTTGAAAGCAACTGAATCCCAACACTTAATGGATAGTTTAGGGACAGGACTCCACAAAAGCAATTGCACACCAGTGGTTGGGAATCATGTCAAGGGCAATGCAGGCCATAATCCTGGGTGACAGTATCTTAGAGCAGACTAGAAGCTTAGAACAGACCAAAAGAGGCTTAAAGTTTGTGAAATAAGTCAGAAACAAGAATACTGAATGCCACACAATGTTGCTGTCATGAGGTAGGGACGATATAGACATCTTTGTCTTGGGTATAGTTCCACCATTACAGGTTGACACATAGAGGAGCAGCAGACAAGTAAGGGAGTCTCCCATTAAGCCTTTCAATAGCTCTGGGAGCCCAGCAACATCAAAACGCAAGCCTCCTTTGAGGTGGGTACCTAGAAATAATGACAGGAGCTCTGACTCACCTGACTGTGGAACCCCACATGAGGCAACCAGCCAAGCAGGCACAGGTAGCCGAGGGACAGTGTATAGGGCTGCTGTCACCTCCCTCCCAATGGCTTTGCTGACTTGGAGTCATTTCCTTCCCTGACTTTTTCGCTGGACCATAGGTTGAAGTTGCTAAGAGATGATTAAGTTTTCCCCTTCCTTTTCTTCTTTTTTTTTTTGGTTTTTTGAGACAGGGTTTCTCTGTGTAGCCCTAGCTGTCCTGGATCTCACTCTGTAGATCAGGCTCCTTTTCTTCTTTTTTGAGACGTGGTTTTATTATATATCTCAGGTTGGTCTCCAAGTATCCTGTCAATGCTGAGATCATCCACACAGCTGCCTCATGCCTTCCTCTTGATGACATACATACCCAGCGATGGAATTGTGGCCATCCTGGTGGACCATGGACCAAGAAGCTTCCCATGGGCCAACAGGACAACAGGAGGTGAGGACCAGACATGGGCAGATGAGCCTGAGCTCTAAGGAACACTGCCAAGAACTTGATGGAAAGCTGCTTAACCCCTCTTCTTCCCAGAGTACAAAAGGACAGAGCAGTGGAACAAGATGTGATTATCTTGGGCTACACCAGAATCCCCAGGAGGGTTTGTACCCATGGACCACATGCATGCCTGGTGCCCAGTGTCCTCGGAGATCAGAGGAAGGTATCAGATTTGGGTCCTCTGCAAGAGCAAAATGTGCTGTTAACTGCTGTACTGTCTGTCCAGCCTCAAGAGGGACAGCTTTTAAGAACCAATGGCTCCCAGCTTTACCCTGGAACCACAGTGGAGCTAGTCCAGAGTAGGTCTAAGTTTGTTTTTCATAAACTTCCTGAATAAAGCAGCCAGCGTTGAAAACCACAGCCCTAGGGCACCAGATATTTCAGGAAACAGTATGATCAGATGGTGCATACCTTAAAAATCCATCCTCCTCCTGACATTCCAGGCCCAAATAAAAATAGAGATTTAAAATATGTTCCCTAACATCTTGAACCCAAGTTCATGGACTCAAATTCCTGCCACTTCTTTTGTATACACTGTAATTGTCCACATCCTGTTTCCCCATCCCATGTTAGGGATTGAACCGAGGATCTTGTACATACATGTTGGATAAGCACCCTGCTGTGGAGGTAGGTCCCCAGACCTGCATCTGGTTCTTGTTCATTGTCATTCCTAGGGATCCTGTGAAAGTTACCAAGGAGGTAAGAGTTCATTCCTATGAGGGAGTCTGTGCATCCCGTATCTCAGACATGATCACAGAGGCACAAGCTCCAAGTGGGCTTTGGGAGACAGCCCTTCCAGATGCTGACTGGACTTGGGTCTAGACAACTTCAACCTACTTTGTACCTGTCCAGCCTCTAACTTGAAAGAATAAGAGGATTCTGAATATGGCTTCTGAGCAGGAAGGAGGCTGGGCCTCTGACAGGAGCCAATCCAAGTTCACACAGCTTAATAGTGGTGTGAGCATGTCTCTGTTTCATCCACTCAAGGTCTCAATTATAAACCTCAAAGGTAAAATAAGATAAATGGAGCCTGTTGCATTGAGCTGTACCGAGAAAGGCACTGGAAGTGCTTAGCACAGCGTCTGACACAGACGGTAATTGGGATACCTCACGATGCCAACCATTTTGTAAAGTATTCCTGTGTTCTGCTGCAGAAACATGTCCATGGTCATTTGTCTAAGACAGCACACAGCTAGACTCAGAATGCCAGGGGTTGTTCTATGGTTAACACAGAGAGAAAATGGCATCCACAGGTTTGCTGACTGGTCCACAGAACAACCCAAACCCAAAGGTGATGTGGTAAATAGGCTAAGTTCCAGGGTCTCAAAGAGGGGTCTAGGGGGAAGATGCAGGTGATTGATGCTAATCCCAAAGATGGAAGGAGAAAGGTGACTGACCCAAATCATCATGACCAAATTAATTAAAGCAAACTTTTCTATTTGTGTCCATGAGTTGCCTCCCACTAAGGTTCAAAGGCTCAGCACCAGATGTGATGAAGGCTTTTCTAGCTCAGGGGTAAGGGAGTTCCAAATAAGGGATTTGGCAGGCAAATAGCCGGGATTACAGGAGCAGAACATATGCATAACAGGTTAGTCCTAATGGCCTCCTGAAGCAAAGACATGGTTGCAAGGTGGGCATAGCAAGGTAGTCATAACAAGATAGTCATAGGTAGTCATATAACATCTGGAATCAAAGGTAGGGTTGCAAGTTGGTCATAACTTTTTGAAATAAAGACATGATCACCATTCCTGGAATAGGCAGTACCAAACTATTTGTAGTTAAGGTTACAGGTAGGGCATAGCCCAGTCCTTGAGAAACAGGTTTAACCATAAACAGGTACAAGCCTAGTTTGTCTTCACTTATAAGATGGCTTTTGAGCCTAAGATGGAGGCAGGCTGGTTCTCCAATTAATATTTTGAGTCTTGACAAAAGGAAAGACACCTCCCTGGATTCTTCTGGTAGACAAGGCAGATGCCTGGCTGGCTGAGTGTTTGGGGTGGGGCAGCTGGTGACTGGTTACCTCAGACTTGGGGCTAAAGGGAATGAAGAAACTGGAGGTTCAGCTGCCTCTGATTTGGTTGCTTTTTTTCAGCAGATAAAATGCCTGCTGTGATGCCGGGTAGTGGTGGCGCACGCCTTTCATCCCAGCACTTGGGAGGCAGAGGCAGGGGGATTTCTGAGTTCAAGGCCAGCCTGGTCTACAGAGTGAGTTCCAGGACAGCCAGGGCTATACAGAGAAACCTTGTCTCGACAACCCCTCCCCCCCCAAAAAAAAATGCCTGCTATGTGTCAAGTCCTCTGTGAGGCCCCAGGTACAGGGGGATGAAGAAAACAGACACGCCATTTCTAACCTCAGAAAGCATGTGTTTGGGGTCTAAAGAGAGGAGGGATTATGAACCTTAAACAGCACACACTGTAAAGACCTGTAAAATAGAAGATGAAGATGCTAAGGGATCGGGTAACAGGGCCTGGCCTTGGTGGCCTTGGTGGTGGCAGGAAGAAACTGAGGACAAGTGGTCAGCAAGGTGGAGAAGATTCAGGCCTCAGCCAGAACACAGCACATGCCAAAGAGCAAGGGCGTTGGAAGGCTCAGGCCCACAAGAGGCGCTGGGGGAACTCTGCCACAGACAGTGGTTAGCCATGAGCTAAGCAAGGTGGCTGCGTTAAAAATTTTTGTAATCAAAAGGCTATGGGAAGCCACTGAAGAACTTTCTTTTTAACCTTTATTTCTATTTTATGTGTATGGGTGTTCTTCCTGCATGCATGTCTGCACATCATGTATGTACAATGCCTGCAGAGGCTAAAAGAGGGAGTTGGGATCCCTTGGAACTGGAGTAATAGACAGTTCTGAGCCACCATGTTGAAGGCTGGGGATCAGATGAGGGTCCTCAGGAAGAGCAACCAGCGATTTATTTATTTATTTATTTATTTATTTATTTATTTTATTTAATGTATATGAGTGCACTGTCATTGTCTTCAGACACACCAGAAGGCGGCATCAAATCCCATTACAGATGGTTGTGAGCCACCATGTGGTTGCTGGGAATTGAACTCAGGACCTCTGGAAGAGCAACCAGTGCTCTTAACCACTGAGCCATCTCTTCAACCCCCTGATGAACTTGGGTGACATCATGACCCCATGTGAAGTATTTTTGTTTTATGATTATGAGCTCTCGCACATTAATCACCCTTGATTGTCACAGTAACCCTACAGAGATGTCACCTCTGTCTTATATCCCAGACCCAGGGGTCTCCCACAACTTGACCACATCACCCCCACCCTTCCTTCTGGTACCAGTGAATATCTGTTTCCACCCACACTGATGGAGGGAAGGTGATAGATGACATTGCTGGTGGGAAATCAAGGAACCTGGCTTCTCTGTCCTATCTCTTGTGACATTTTGCTTCCTGAATCTCAGGTTTCTTAAAGTAGCCCAGCCAGAAATGAGGGAATCCTACTCTAAGGCCTTTTGGTTGGAAAAAAACAAAAAGCCGCCCCTCCCTTCTCACCTGGGGCGGGGGTGGCAATAATAGAAATGTCCTACAAGTCTGGGCCTGTCTGAGAGTTCCTCTTCAAACCCAGTGAGCAGGGTGTGTAGGGCCGCCAAAGGCTGAGCCTGAGGATGCTCCGTTTGGGAACACGAACCTGCTTTCCTGTCTGCTATTCCCTTGGGTTTCCCATATTGGCTAGATGAAATGGTTTGAGCTTTTAATTGTTCATACACTGATATAGCATCAACTCTCCCCATCTGTTTGATCATCTTCTCTGTGTTTGGCATTTTCTCCCCAGATGTAGATATGTCTGATCATGAGGCCACCGGCTTGATTAGCATTCACTGCCAGCTTCACACAGCTTACTTCATGCCCAACACCTTCCAGAATGATCTGATCCAGCTGCCCTTGCACAAGATGGCCCAGCAGGGTAAAGCTGGTGCAGTTTGGGGGTCTTCCTTCAGGCTCATAGCCTAGCTCCACCTGTCCTTTTTCTAGGGTGTACTTTCCATCCATGATGGAGCCTGTTCTGACTTGCACTCTGTTGAGGTTCGCTGGATTGTTCAAAATCACTATCAAATAGTTCCCTGTACTGACATTGTAGGACCAAAAGAATGACTCATCCAGAGTGAAGGCCTCCTCTGGGGAATGGATGTCAGAGAACCTCATGTCCGTGTAAACAGTTCCAGTGAGGATATTGAGGACAGGAGCATCCTCTTCCTGGCCTGTTAAGGTCTTGTTCTCAAAAGTGAAGTGAGTCAACCTGTGGTAGAAGAGAAACGGTCTGCAGAGGATTGGATGTTGCTGGGCCAGGAGGGTACGGAAATGAAGGATCAGCCAGGTGAGCGGTCGCTCCTTGTGGAAGAGGAGGAGGAAGCGAGCCAGGAGTGGAAGGTCCCTGCTGTGGAGAAGTTTGCCCAGGATGCCCATATTAGAGAACTCCAGGAGCACCCATGTGTTGGGCTTCCTGTAGATCACATTCGAGCGAATGTGGCTGACAAAATTGGGGGCAAAGAAGACATCGTCCTCTAGCAACAGGAAATAAGTAGAGAGCTTCGTGGCAAAGCTCATGAGGAAAGCATGGTCGACATTCTGCTTGGAGTAGATCTGCCCCTGAGAGATCTCCTTCTGGACATTATTCACAGTGGGGTAGGCATCAGGTGGGGCGTGGATCAATAGTAATTGCCCTGTCAAGATCTGGGACTTGTAGAGACTTGAAATATGGGAGATAGTTCTCCTGAGCCAGATGGGATCAGAGTCTGCCAGGTGGACCAGCACTGTCATTTGTCTCTGCTCAGATGTGGAGGAGGCGTGGTACAGGGAGGCGAGGGTATCCAAGAGGCCATTTTGACCCTGCCGTGACTCTGAGGTGATCCCCACTGTCAACCATGCTGAGAGGTAAAATAGGGACAACTGTCAGTGGATGGTAGTGATGAGAGTGTTCAAGAAGATTAGAGAAGCTAATGAAACCTCCAGTGAGGCAGGACTGGAATCTAACCTTGGAACAAAGGAAGCTGAGGTAGGAGGACCGTGAGTTCAGTAAGGGCTACATAGCATAGTGAGACCCTGTCATATCATAAATAAAATAAACCTTACAGTACTAGGGAGTAGGCCTGGAGCAGAGGCTCATTCTCTGGTCTTACAGAAGACACAAGTTTTGTTCCCTGTACCCATGTTAGGAAGTTTACAACTGCCTGTAACTTCAGCTACCAGATTCAGCACCTTCTTCTGGCCGCCATGAACACTGGCCCACACACGTGTGTGCGTGCTCACACAGAAACAAATCTTAAAGATTAGAGGATGCTATTTGGGATATTTTTCTTTTCTTTCTCTCTTTCTTTCTTTCCTTCTTTTTTTTAAAGATAGATTTATTTATTTATTTATTTATTTATTTATTTATTTATTTATTTATTTATTTGTATCTGTATGAGTACACTGTAGCTGTCTTCAGACAGACCAGAAGGGGGGTATTGGATTCCATTACAGATGGCTCACCACCATGTGGTTGCTGGAAATTAAACTCAAGACCTCTGGGAGGAGCAGTCAGTGAGAGCTCTTAACCACTGAGCCATCTCTCCAGCCCCTATTTTTCTTTACTTGGTAGAAAAAAATGTGCACATTATTGCTACTCTTAAAAAAAAAAAAAGAAAAAAGAAAAAGCCGGGCGGTAGTGGCACACGCCTTTAATCCCAGCACTTGGGAGGCAGAGGCAGGTGGATTTCTGAGTTCGAGGCCAGCCTGGTCTACAGAGTGAGTTCCAGGACAGCCAGGGCTGCACAGAGAAACCCGTCTCGAAAAACAAAAAACAAAAAAAAAGATCAAGGGGCTGAAGAGATGACTCAGCGGTTAGGAGCACTGACTGCTCTTCCAGAGGTCCTGAGTTCAATTCCCAGCAACCACATGGTGGCTCACAACCACCTGAACCATCTGAATGAAATCCGATGCCCTCTTCTGGGGGGTCTGAAGACAGCGGCAGTGTACTCATGTACATAAAATAAATAAATAAATCTAAAAAAAAAAAAGAAATCAAGAGTTCTGTTTAAAGACTTATTTATTTGTTTATTTATTTATGTATGTATTTTTACTCATTTATTTATTTAATGTGAATTGGTATTTTGCCTGTATGTAAGTCTGTGAGGATATCAGATCCCCTGGAACTAGAATTACAGACAGTTGTGTGCTGCCATTCGGGTGCTGGGAATTGAAGGAGGGTGCCCAGAGAGAGCAGCCAGTGCTCATAAAGAAGTGAACTGCGTCTCTAGACCCCATTCTTGGTAACTCTTAAATGCGGTCATCAGCCCAGAAACGTTAGCCTTGTTTGCAACTTTATTAGACACACAGAATCCTGAGGCCATCTTCAGAATACGTTTCAACTATATCACTTATATGTATTTAAGAGTTGAAGAAATACCAAACTAAGTGCCTCTGGATCCTTTTGAATATTTTTTCTGAATATTTTTGCCAGGTGTGGTGGCCCATGCCTTTAATCCCAGCACTTGAGAGGCACAGTGGGGTAAATCTCAGTTTGAGGCCAACCTGGTCTACAGTTTGAGTTCCAGGACAGCCAGGGCTACACAGAGAAACCCTGTCTCAACAACAACCAACCAGAGCTAGAGAGATGGCTCAGTAGTTAGGAGCACTGATTGTTCTTCCAAAGGTCCTGAGTTCAATTCCTAGCCACCACATGGTGGCTCACAAACATCTATAATAGGGTCATAGGATCTGATGCCCTCTTCTGGTACGTCTGAAGACAGCTACAGTGTACTCATATAAATAAAATAAATAAATATAAGCAAACAAACAAACAAACAACAACAACAAGATAAGGTCTTCCTGTGTAGACCTTGTGGGCCTAGAACCCACTTTATTGTCTAAGCTGACCTTGAACTCTCAGTGGTTCTCCTGCCCCAGCCTCCTAAGTGTTGAGATTGGAGCTGTGTGCCAGTATGTCCGACTCTTCTGAGTCTTTTCTTAAACCTGAAGCTTGTGGCTAAAGAACTTGATAAATATTTGCTAATTGTTATGGTTATTATAATTCCTTCTGCTTTAAGCTTTTCAGCTAAAGTATCTTCCCAATAGTCCCTTTAAAGAAGATACATTATAAAAAAAGAAAAAAAGAAAGAAAAAGAGAAAGAAAAGGAGAAAGAAAGAAAGGAAGGAAGGAAGGAAGGAAGGAAGGAAGGAAGGAAGGAAGGAAGGAAGGAAAGAAAAGAGGAGAGGAGATAAGAGAGGAGAGGAGAGGAGAGGAGAGGAGAGGAGAGGAGAGGAGAGGAGAGAAAAGAAAAGAGAGAAAGAAAGGGCTTTTTCTAGAATCCCGAAGCCCAAGACTTTTCTGTTGTTCTTATGCACTGTCTTAGTGTCAACATGACACAAGTTAGAATTATCCAGAAAAGGGGAATCTTAATTGGAAAAGCCATCTTCATAAGTTGGGCTTGTAGACAAGTCTGTGGACATTTTCTTGACAAACTACTGATGTGAGAGGGCTCAGCTCCCTGTGGGCGGGGCCTCCCCTGGGCAGGTGGTCCTGGGATATGGAAGAAAGCAAACAAAGCAAGCCCTAAGCAATATACCTCCATGGCTTCTGCATCAGCTCTTGCCTCCAGGTTCCTCCGAGTTCCTATCTTGACTTCCTTGAGTATGACTGTCAACTGCAGGTGTAACGGAGCCTTTTCCTCCCCCTCTGGTGCTAAGATACACACACTCTGGAAGAGCACCCAACCTACGCTGTTCTATTTCCCCAGTCCAGGGTTTTTACCCAGTTCTGCCACTTCTGACTGTATTGTTGGCCAATTCCTTTCAGCTCAGAGCTTAGTCCTAAAACCCATAAAACCAAAAGGATCTGGGCTCTGTGATCTAAGACGCTCCCATCTCCACTGTTCTTTAATCCAGTGATTGCTTTTTCTTACAATGACTAGCTTTACTTTTTCTCACCAGTGATTTAATCTTTTTCACTTATATATTCCATTTAGTCATTGAATGCCTTTATCTAAAAATGCATGTAGATAACTTTAGCCACAACTCTTTTTGTTTTGTTTTGTTTTTCGAGACAGGGTTTCCCTGTATAGCCCTGGCTGTCCTGGAACTCACTCTGTAGACCAGGCTGGCCTGAACTCAGAAATCCACCTGCCTCTGCCTCCCAAGTGCTGGGATTAAAGGCATGTGCCACCACTGCCTGGCTAGCCACAACTCTTTTTTAAATATTTCAGTTATTTTCTCTTTCCTTTTATTTAAATGCCCTAAAGCTGGGCATGAGGGTACATACCTTTAATCCCATCACCCAGGATATTGAGGCAGGAAGAGCTTAATTCAAAGCCAGCTTGAGATACATAGTAAGGAGAAGGCCAGCCTTGGTTACATAGTGAGACCTTATCCAAAAGCTTAATACTCAAGAGGACCTGAGTTCAGTTCATAGCACCCAAGTGTAAAGGGATTTTAATCCGGCAACATGGTTACTCTGGCTGGAACACAGACATCCTGGAACACAGAGGCAAGCAAATCTCTGAGTTTAAGGCCACCCTGGTTTAGGTAAAGAAAAGCTTTGGTCCAGGCATGATGATGTGCTGGGAGCTAACCTGACTCCATTTTGCATTTAGACTCCATTTTAAATAAGAATAAGTTTTGTTTTCCCTCAGCTATTTCTGAAAATACGTGGCTAATGGTCCTATGCCCTAAGGAAAATGGTTGCTGTGTCCTGAGCCAGACAAAAACATTGGGGCTGCAAGAAATCCACCATGGCAGAAGGCCCAGTTTCTGTGAAATTCCCCCAAACACATGATCCCCTTCCCTGCTTGTATAAATTCTCTGAGAAAATACAGCTCGATGGACCTTGATCAGAAAACTTGACTTGGTCCCGTTCTTTGTGTCTCCTGTCCCTTCCATTCTCTCCCCCTTTCTCTTCGTCCTGTTGAAGCCCCCACAGGGCAGGGAAAAATGGTGCCCAGCATTCAGGAGACAGAGGCAGGAGGATATCAGAGTTTCAGTCATTTTGGTTGAGTCTGTGAGTTGAGAGGCAGAGCAGGAAAAGAGAGTAGAGTTGAAGTTGGTTCAGTCAGTTGAGTTCAGTTCAGTCAGTCAATGGAGTTGAGGTCAGCCCCATTCAGTTCATGCAGTAGAGGCAGTTGAAGCCAGAGAGTGAAGAGTCAGAAGATTAGAGCAAACTGCTGGAGTTAGTTTGAGGCCAGGCAGAGCAATTCACTGAAAAGCTGAGAGAGACCAGATTGAATCAGTCAGTTTGGAGAAGAGTTTGAGCCAGAACAGCTGAGTTGAACCAGCCAGCCAGAGTTCAGAAAGGGCAAGAAAGGGTGAGCTTATTCAGCAGTAAGCCTCTGAGATGACAGTTACATCTGACAAATAAAAGTTACATTTACACCCAAGCCATGCAGCTCTGGATACCTGCAACTGCAGCTTCCAGGGATCTATTCATATTCCTATACCATAATATACATATGTATATTCACATATACTATACACACATAAGCCAACAAAAACCAATGGTTAAGGCCACCCCCTCCAAAAAAGGCCACATGAAGGAAGGAGAGAGGCCCAGTGGTTAAGAGTGCCTACTGCTCAGAGGAGTTGAGTTGCTAACACCCACCTGGCAGGCTCACAGCTACCTGTAACTGCAGCTCCAGAGACTCTGATGCCCTCTTCTAGCTTCTATGGACACTTGTACTCCTGTACATATACCCATAGACAGAGACATATGCATCCACTTAATTAAAAATAAAATAAAATGCCCAGCATGATGGTGTATGTCTTCAATCCCAGCACTCAAGAGGCAGAGGCAGGAGGATCTCTTG